GGGAGGGGAGAGGGCGGAGCGGCTGGCCTCGTCGGCGCGCTGGAAAAGCGGGAGGTGGGAGCCCTGCACACCTCCGAGGCAGGTTTTCTGACAACCCTTGCACGGGGTAATGGCGTCAGACGCCACGTAGGCCCGCAAAGCTAAATATGCCTGTGCACCCTTCCAGGGCCAGCAAACCGCCGCCATAACAACAGTAAGGAAAAAGGATCTCAGCCTGAATTTGGCTATACCGCGAGAAAGAAAAGTTCTGAGGAGCTGTTGTTATTATATATTCTAATGAGAAGTCATTGGAGAAATTAAAAAGGGCAGAGAAAGACGAAGACGCCAGCACTAATTCCACAGGAAGCCTCCCAGGGAAAAGGCTGTGTGAGTTTGAACGCTGAAAAGCATGAAGGCCTGGAATTAGACTATCATTTAGAAAGCGTTACTAATCCGAAGTTACAGCAGTAATTCCATGATTTGCTGGGTCCCACACGCAGCGCCAGAATTAAAGATACGGATTTTCTAGAAATGTAACTCAACTGTGGCACCGACTCTCGGCAAGATCCGAATGAATCATTCATTCCAAACACTGCAAAAGACATGTCATTAAGAACCAACCTTATTCTCTCCAGCCCATCTGGAATATGTATTCTTGATGCAGTCCCAGAAATTGTGGAAGAGATCGGAGGTGGGGAGGAGGGAATGTAGTTATTTCCCTCCTTTATTATGTCGGTTATTTTTAAGAAATAATTTTCCAATTATTTTCACAATATTGTGAGTGGCACTCGATTCTTCTTCTATTTATTTTTTTTTTCTTCTGTATGATAGCATCGAGTCAGGTGGAAACGGTTTCAGTGGAGATGCTTTAAAACTAGACTGAACAAAGCAGGAGAGAACTGAGCAAGGTGCTTGATGAATGCATTTATTCCGGAGTAATGATTTCATGGGGGATGGAGGAAAGAAACATTCAAATTCCTAATGAATATAATTCAGAAGGAATCATTCGACCTGCGTGTTAGAGAAAATCTGTTCTGGTGGGAGTGTTTCTGCACTGGCAGAACCCAGTAGGTATTTCTGTCCCTGGCTTTTGTAATTGCAGTAGGTGACTATATAAAGAGAGGATCTGAGAAAAGAAATATATATATATATATTCACACATATAATAAATTTATTTGTGTGTGTGTATATAAATATATATAGGTATAATTTTAGGAAATAAAACACAAGTGTGGAAACCAGTGTCTACATGTGAACTCTTACAAAGGATCCAAAGCAGATTTTTCTATCTTGCTGTAGGATCAGCTGTTCAGAAACCACCTTTGACGCCTAAATTTGTTTCCCCCAAAATCACATGTTCAGAGCTGATTTTTCGTGTATTTTTTCAGGCAGTAGGGTTGGCTTGCTGTGCAGAAGCCCCCCCCCCCCCCCCCCCCCATGATGGGATTGAGACAAGGAGTTTTACTTGCAGATCTGAAGAAAGGGACTAAGCTGCTTGTCCCATAGTTTCTGGGAGAGAGAAACCGTGGCTGAATTCTGCTCCTGCTTAATTCTTCGCTTTCACTCTTGTTGTCTGTGCAAATATACACAGGAGGATGTCTGGGAGGAGCCGTGGAGGCAGCCCCATCCCGATTAATGAGGAGGCTGGGAAATGGCAGCGAATAACGGGGTACAGTGGCACGAGCCACACCAGCTTGTGTGCAGGAGCGGAGGGCAAAGAGGCAGATAAAGCCCCGCTAACCCACTGGTAAATCCATACTTGTGAAATGCCTACTGCATTTAGACCATCCTTCCCTGCCTGGCATCACCTCGCTTTGTGTCTTTTTTTTTGAGTGCTCCGGAGGAATGAGGGTCATGCAGGGCATGGGGTCTGCCTTTGGGATGTGGCTAGCTGTACCAGAGCCATGATAACCCCGTGGCCCACACGGCTCTGTCCGAGGCTTCACCCTTGGCCGTTTGTGTAGCTATTGGCTTCAGCTGGATCTTTTCTCCTGTGCAGCCCAAAGCCAGAAGAGAAGGTGTCTTGTAAGGCTCTTAGTTCGCACGGGGCCAGGTGCCATGGGCAGGGACGGAGCGCCCGGGCCCGAGGAGCCCGGACCGAGCGCTCCCGGGCATCGCAGGGGGCTCCTTGGCGGTGCTCTCTCCTGGTCGAGCAGTAGGATGCAGGGCTGGCAGCACGTGGATGAGGTTTCTCGAGCTGGGCCTTTATGTCTTTGTTCTTCTGGCAGCGCTGGGCTGGGCAAGTCAAGGCAGATAGAGGCAGAAATGTAAGAAGCCGCATGGGCGGTAAGGGGGTAAGTGGAAAATATTCTCTGTGCTTTTATCCTGGGGAATGAGGCCCTGGGACATCGTGTGCTCAAACTCCTTTATTTCTTTTCCTGTCCTGAAGCTTCTGCCCCATGCAGTGAGCTTGGCTCAAGGCACGCGGTGTGGGGGTTTGTCCCAGCTACCAGGGTACGCCAAAGCCGTCGGGGCTCCGGGGGTAGATGGCAAAGAGGCTGTTCAGCCCCGACTGCTTAAACAAGCTGCCTGTGAATAGGACCAAGGCCGTGTGAGCCCCGCGGTTTGGTTATGGATGAAATCCCATCAATGGGCATTTTTGTGAAATCGCCTGGCAATGGCCGGGTTGAAGCGGGAGGCCTGGCTCCGCGATGTCTTTTGTCTCTCTTCGCCCTGCGCGCCCCGACGCAGACATACGGCGCCTGTTTACCTGTTTCTCTTCTCCTGCTTTGTCCGAGCCATCAGAGAAGATTCAGAGACTACCAGCGTGGAGGGTCCACCTCGCTCGTGGCCGTGGCCGGTGCCGGTGGCTGTGACTTGTCCCCGGTTTGCCAGGTGCGAACGGCGGGCCCTCGCTGGGGAGGGCTGAGCGTCGAGTCTCTCGCCTCTGCTGAATGCAGATACGTGTTTCTGCGTGTGCCAGCAACGCGCTCCTCGCGTCCCCTCGGGCCATGCAGCTCTGTGGTTGGAAGGTGCTAATTTGGCATATGTGCAGGTGATAGGACTTCTTTTTTTCTCTAGCTGTGAGCTCGAAGGTGTTTGCGTCTGGCACATGGCAGTGCGTGTACGGCGTTTGCGGCACGCGTGCCGAGGCGCCCGGGCAGTTTTATCACCCGGGCTCTTGGGTGTTGCTGCACCGCGTCCACCTGATCGCGCCGAGCCTCCCGGACGTCCTCGGGGGCCGGGAGCGTAAGATGGCTGCGCGCTGCCCCGGCTGCCTTTCCCTGGCACGTGACTCCCAGCAGCCGCTGTTTCCAGGTTGGTTCATGGCGTTTGGTGCTTTTTGCTCCTCGCTCAACTTCTGGGAGCCCGGGAATGTGTTTGCCAAGAGCCCAGCGATAAAAGCGTCACCTCCCGCTGCTTACCGGCAGTGCCAGAGTTCCTAAATCCCTCGCTGAAGGGCCTGGCTCCCTCTTCCCGTGCGCGGCACAGAGCGCGTGCCCGTGCAAGCCTGAGCCCTCGGGCTGCCCGGCTTCGCGGTGAGCGCGCACAGGGCTCCGGCTTTCTGCGGTAGGAGTCGCGTTTTCAGGTGCTGTTGCCTATATTTATCCAGTAGCTCAGGTTTAGTTAGGAGCGTTTGCCTTGAAAGCTCAGGAGCGGGGGTGAAAAAAGGAAAATGGGGGGGAGAAAAAGAACACAATCTCCGTCAGTTAGCTGTCTCTTGGAAACTCGGACTGCTGTTCCTATAGAGGCTTTCTCTTTTCCTTCACCCTGGACTGGCCTTAAGTACCACTTTAAGTGGGCTTTGCTCATTCACATCCAGGCTCCTTAGAGCAATTGAGCCTGCGGGGGTTTGAAAAGAAGGGACAGTCCTTCAATGGCAGGACCTTGGGCCAGGCTAATTGGTTTTGGTTCAAGGGGATACTGGATTTGTGAAAAGCCCAAAGACATCTTTCCCACGCCAAATCCCAGCTCTTCAGAGGGGGAAGTGAGGGGTGCCGGGTGGGGAAAGGAGCTGAAAGAAAGATGGTTTAGCTGAGGAACCTTAGTAAGGACCCGGACACCCACCTGCCCCGGCAGGGATGGCGAGAGAGCGACACTGGGTGCTCAGGCTACCCCCACGGGTGGGGGCAGCGGGCCGGGGCCGGGTCCCTCCTTCTTGGGGCGGTCGGACGGCGGAGCCGAGCCCCGGCGCTCGCTAACTCCACGCTGTCCACAGGGCCTGGTCTCGTTAAAACGAGCCTTTTTCTTGGCATGCGAGATTACTGTGGAGATGTTGGGAGTGAAAGAGGAGCAAAGGGACGGGACCTCGGGAAGCCTGGGAGAGCGCAGTTGGGCCCAGAAACCGAATTGCTTCTGTGTGTTTGTGTGTGTGTCTACGGGGAGAATTTGCTGGGGTCTTTTGTATCTTGTATTTTTTTTTTTTAAACACCGAATCTCTCTGGCCCTATTCCAGTAATCCCATGACCTTTACTCTCCCAGATCCATAAAAATCACTTAATTATTGGGCTGAAAATCAAGGCTTGGAAACAAAGCCAGCTTATGGGACCATCATTTCTTGATATATTTCCTGAGAGGACATATTTCTGGGCACCTTCAGAGCAGCGAGCACAGCTTGTTGGATATGAGATATCAAGGCATTATTTATTGAGGAAGTCTTCACACTCCCTCATCTGTTATAATTAACTGATGACATTTTTTCCTAGGTTCAAAATATGGTGAAAAAGTATAATTAGCACGAAGCTGAGACACTGCATTAAAATGTCTCCTATAGTTAATGTAAGATAGTCCTGCTATTTATTATAGGAGGAGCTGGTGCTGACCTCTGTGTTGCCTAACACTTTTTATTGTAAAGATTCTTGAACTTTTTTTTTCTTTTTGAGAACCTCTGACACTCCCATTGTTTGCCGCGGGCCCTTGAAATTCGGCTGGGGGAAGCTCTTAGGCTAGAGAAATGCCTATTCTTTGTCCCCGAAATTCCTTTCAGGTTTAGCTGAATTATGAATTGTTCAGAATCACAATTTCCCTTCAGTTGCCTCCTCAGGGAAAAAAGAAAGAAAAAAAAATCGGTGTTTCCCTGGAATAATAACAAACCACGAGCAGGGTAAAGCCATGGGCTCTCGCCGCTGCCCTGCCCTGGGACGGCTGTCATCGGTGGGAAGACGGTTACAGCCAACTCCTGCTAACGCGTCCGCATCTAGCTCACGTCCTTGTAGCGTAGCCCCAGTCTCCTGGGAACAAACTCCCCCAGGTCCTGGTGCCGGGAGGAAAAAGTGTGTGTCTGTGTGCGCACATGCTGGCCTGGCCCTCGCCAACGCCAGCAGCCCGCTTTCCCCGCCACCGCGGCCCCCGGGAGAGCAGCCTTCTGCCGCTGCCAGATAACATTAGTCCTGTATTTCATAGTGGCAGAAATCTGTGCCGAGGCTCGGGGCTTGAAATCTCGCTCCCCATGCAGGACGAAGGCTGGGAGGGAAGTGGGGTGGGGGGGGAGATTCGTTACACTTGCATACAACTGTTTTTCTTTTTGCTTATATAAACAATCTATTATTTATTAGCTATAAATAATACATTTTCTGTATGTTTAGAATGCATGTGATTTCTGTAGATTAAAAACGTCCATGGTTTAAGGCACCAAACCGAACGCTCACGAGTCGGAGGGTACCAGATTTCAGTTTGACCATGAGACGTTAATTCAGCCTCTCGCTGCATGTGCCCTTACGAGGCTGTAATGACACAGTCACAGCCTATTTTTAGCTCGCTCCCTCTTTCCCTGGCCAGGGTGGCTGCACAGCGAGGTGGAAATAAGGTTGCACGTACAGCCATAAATTGGACATTTCCTAACTTTGAAGTGCTTGACCATGCAATCTAAATGAGGCCGTTTCAGGGCAGTATTTCTGCATGTGGCATTAACTGCATTGGTAGGGGACAGCAAATACAGGGGTAGAGAAGCTGTAGAGGAGAAAAGACCTAGCAGACTATTGAAAGAGCTCGTTTGAATAAATGGGGAAGTCAACAGATCCTATACTCGCCCTGAGTTAAATGGCAAAGAACATGTCTCCAAGTTGAAAGGCGGAAGCCTTTGTTCCCTCAGAAATGGCCTTGATGTTTTCTTTGCCTTTGGTTTTGCCTTGTTCTTTCCTAGGGAGGTTTGGGCTCCGTATCTTGAGGAATCCTTGGCTTGTTTGTTGCATTTGCCTACTTGGGAAAGCAAGGATGCCCCTAGGAATGTGCACGCGCGCGCACCCAGACACACACACACACACCCTCCCATCATCACGCCACCCAGACACATGTTACCGGCTCTCACACGCTTGCTGCTGTTGCGTCCTTGCCTTGCATGCTCTTTCTTTCCAGTGTCGCTAATGGGAGCCGTTCCACGTGTTGGAGGGAAAGGGGAGGCCTTTGTGCATTAAACAGCAGATCTAATCTCTCTCTCTTTTTTTTCTTTTTTTTTTTAACTGCTGGAAGAATTGCCTCTACTTTAGTTTGGAGGTGATTAGATGCAATGCAGATTTGTCTCTGCTTGACATGTCCCTTTTTTTTTTTCTTTGTTTGTTGGGAAGTTTCTTCGTTGCGGCTTGCGAAATCCGTGAGGAGACGTTTGGCTGTCTTTCCTTTATAGCAGGGTGGGCTCTGGCTGAGCAAATTTGTCTGGGGAAGCAAGCAGTAGGGCTTTTTATTTTACTTTCCCAGGTCTAATCCAGTCGTGGCCCCTTGCACATACCTTGTGCTGATAGTAAAGCATTTTCTCAGGCTGGCAGTGTATTTGCTCTGGATTATAACTATATGCCCGAGTGTTTTTACCATGTGGATTCCTGGAGCCCCACATCTGCTTGGGGCTCTTCCTACGTTGACCCAGGCGTCGTGTGCTTGGTCCGGCTTTCCGTTGTGTGGGCACAGGCTTCTGTTTCATGAGCATCTTTTTCGTAACTTTTCCTATCTCTCCCTGCATCTCAGGGCTTATCTATCTGGATGCAGGCAATAAACGTCTGTTCTCACCCTGACTTCTGTTAATGAGATAGAGACAGGTAAGCATCACACATACCAACTTTCCTGCTCTCAGCAACATCAAGGAAACGGTGACAAGCTATTAATGGGAAGTGATGGCCGGGGTGCTAATTAGTGCTTCCTTTTCAACTTTTACCTACGTGTCTGCCGAGATGCCCATCCCAGCCTCTCCTCTCTCCTTGCATCCCTTTGTTTCCAGTGCGCTTCTTATTCTCCACACACATCCCATGGTGAAGAGGCTTCTCTCTTTATTTTCTTCTACCAATCACTTTCTGGATCTCTTCATTCCTTTCTCGTGCCCTGCTTCCCTCGGTAATTGCTGCCTGCACCCTCTTTCTCCTGTGGTTGCTCCCAGCGAAGAATAAGCATGATATTGTAGAGGCATCCAAAACCTTGGGGACAGGGTGGCTCGGAGGCAGCCAGGAGTTTCTTGTCTTCACTCACTAGGTAGCAATATTCACTTGTGGTCAAATTACCCCAGGAACCTGAGGTCAGAGATCAGTCCCCTCTTTCCACAGGCAATGAGGCAGGGAGGCCTCCCAGCAGCTCACAGGTCTTGGTCAGGGAGTAATTAGTATTTAAAGTGGATCTCTTGGTAACGGCCAGTGACAGAATAGGGCAGGCGTTCGCTGCATGAGCCTGGAGGAAACGACTGGCCCTGCCCCAGAAAGCTTGCGGTCTAGAGCCTAAATACTCTTGCTCTGCACCAGACCCCGTTAACGGCAGGATTTTCAGACGCACCCAAACTTCTGCTGTGGCAGCAACATGCTGCCCGGTCTCAGCGCGGTGCCAGGTCTCAGCGCGGTGCCTGGTCTCTCCCTGTCTCGTTCTCCCGACGCCTAGGCTCTGCCCCTTCCCCAAGGACCTCTCTGCCTGATCGTCCCCTCCTCGCTTTCTTGCACGGGCTCTGGGTTTCTCGCTGCCATGCTCAGCCCCCGTGTGCTGCCAGGCTTGTGTCCCAAGGAGCCTGCCTAATCTGCCCCTGTCATTCACGGTCACAGGCGCCGCGGACACCGTGGCTTTGCAGGGATGCTCGCGGGGCAGTGGGGAAGAGGCAGCCATGGTTTGTAGATGAGCTAATTAATTTTCATGACTGAATGATGCTGCCTGGTCTCTTGTTTCTATTCCTCGCCTCTCCCCTTCTCCCCCCCTTCGCTGATACACACAAGACAACGCATCTCGTACGAGCGTCAGCATCCTTCCGCAGCCTTGAGACGCGAGTGGTTATTCTGTTGGCTTGTCAAACGCGGGTTTCCCTGCTTCATGGTACACAGGGGCCCCCTGTTTCACATTTGCTGATTCTTATTAGACCCCGCACGCGAAGGCCCTGTCTCTCCCAGCAAGGCAACGCGCTGTATCCCGTCCATAAATCCAGCCCTGGAATAAAGCCGCCTCTACCCTGCCCTGTATTTCTACCCAGCCTGCCCGCTTTCCCCTCTCCCTTTCTCTCCCCCTCTCCCATGCTGAAGGTTTCCTAGTGCCAGGGAGATATGATAATTCTTGTGAAGAGAGCATGAAATGCCTCTGCTCTTTGTGTCTGTTTAATTCAATGAGAATCCCAGCCCCAGATGTCATGAATGGTGGGCTTTGTGCTGGCCCTTCCTAAGCCCTAACCGCCAGCCCTGCTTTCTGTCTTTCTTGTTTCCCACCACTGGATACTGATTAACAAACTAAATTATTTTTCCTCCCTAATGATGTTTTCCCACTTTGCCCACCAGGCTGGAAGAAGCCACGGGGAGGAAAGAGTTTGTGCAAAGGATGAGATAGCCAGGGAGAAAATTAAAGAGACAGTGTTGCTCTCTGGGCGCTGGCGATGCAGGTCCACTCGGCTTTATTTCCTTATTAGAGAACGTGGTTGTGTCTGGCTGTATTTTACATGGCTGTGTGTATTTCAGCCGAGGGGATGGGCTTGAAAGCATCTGCGCAAGGTATGCTCTGAAGCATGCCAAGGTCCATAACTCACTTGCAATGGCGGGTGCGTGTTTGCACAGTCCCAAATTTAAGGTCTCTTTTCCAGCCATTTCTCCAGGAGTGACATTCAGTAATTACTTGACATCCATCCATACGTGTGGGAGCCTCTTTCTAATTGAGACAAATTTTCTTTTCCTTAACCAGACATGACTGCGCGTTTGTGGAGCAGGATGCCTTGGGAAGGGCAGGGAAGTCTCCACCTGAGCAAGGAGAGGTGAGTCTCTGGGAGTCTTGTTGAAGGAGTGAGTTCAACTCATGCATGGGAGATCAGCTCTTTTACTTGATCCCTTCCCTCCCTCCCACAGCCAAATTTCCCAGCTAGGCTTTTGAAATGGGGCCAGTCGTTAGCTGCTGCTGGAGGAGGCCAATGGCAATAATCTGGTGAGCCTAGATGGAGCTGGAGGCAGGCGTCAAGGCAGCTCCTGGCAAGGCCACCTGCTTCCCGGAGCCCAGCAGTGCCTCCTTGCTGGGTACCAATGAAGCTGTGGCCCGCAAACACTCTCCTGGTGCAGGGAAGGAAGATGGGTGTAAATCTTGCAGGAAGAAAAGGCAGTAGGAAGGGAGAGAGCCTTTCAACAGAAATTGAGGGTGTGCAGTGTTGTCGAATTGGGAGTCACTGAGAAGGGATTTGGCTTTTTTTTTTTTTTAACTATTTCTTGAACGGTTCTATTATTATTTGGCATCTGAATCCTTGCTTCATTATTGCAATGTACTCTGCAGGCAGCCATGAAGCAAACATCCCAGTCTTCGCTGCAGATGATATACCCCTGAGCTCCTAGGGGGAGGCGGACGGACAGCCTCCCAGCCACCCTGCTTTTGGTTTTTCCTTGAGCGAGAAGGCAGAGGAGCACGCGGGCTGGTAGTGTGGGCTCCTCAGCCAAGAAGCGGGCAGGGGCAGGCCCGGCAGACAGGGCCCGACGGGTTGCAGAGCGCGCTCGGGGCAGGCTCTCTCAGCGCCAGCCCTGTGTTTATCAGCCCTCACGGGAGCTGTCGTTGGAGATGGACAGAGCCTCTTCGTTCCCTGGTCAGAGCAGGGAACGTCCAACGTCCAAGCCCAGCCTGTACAGCAGCTTCTCCCCTTGGAGCTACGCTGATGCTTTGGTACCCAACGGTGGTCTTTGGTTTCTTTAGTTTAGAGTCAGCCAGGGAGAATTGCCTGTCTGCATCCTCCAAGCCCCAAGCACATACAGCAAAGCGCTGCCTTTGCTTCCCACTACGGTCACATCTGACCCTTATTACTTCTGCAAGGTGGAACAAGGCAGGAAAAATGGCTGTGCAGCGAGTTTCTTCATGCGCCAGGATTTATTAAGAACAATAGGGGAAATCAATCCGTCTGTGTAGAATACATCGCAGGCTGCAATGGGATAAAGCATTTATTCCGCTCTTGAAGGGTAGAGCTATAACTCATGGGAGGCAAAACCCTTAGTGCTCCAGAGTCCCTTCCCTTCATATGTGCAGAGGAATGCTTTAGCCCATGGCAACCTACCAGCTATTGAATTTGTGTGGAGAATCTGCTGTCCTTTGCCTGTTCCCCTCTGCCGGCCCCTTTTTGGAAGGCGAGTAGCTCATTAAAACACACCTCTGGAAAAATGAAGGGGCTGTCTATTCAAAGGCATCTCTGCATCTCAGTTTTACTTAAAACAGAAAGTCAAGGCAGAGGAGAGAACAGAAATGTCTCAGGGATGTAAAAGCAACCCCCATCAATTTTGAATGGAAAGGCCATGCTTAAAACCAATAACAGGTTTTGCTGCAACTTTTTGCTGATGCCTGAAGAGCAGGCATTGTAAGTATAGGAGAGAGGGACTCATTGGGGTGTCGTGATGAGGATGGGGAGTTGATGTGTGGGGAGATCTGTGTTTTGTGGCTGAGTATCTCCAGTGCTGACTAGCCTGCATAGGTGTATATATGTAAGTGCTACTCTGTGCCCAGCTCTCCAGCTTGTGAAGGAGGGCATGCAGTGCAAAGACTAGAGCACTAGTTAGTAGGGGCAAAAGGTGACTGGGATTTGTCATAATCTTTCTGGGTGTGAGAGAGTGCAAGCGGGGGTATTAATAGTGAAATGGTATTTTCACTAAGCCTATTTTCACTGGATCTAATCTATCTTGTGAGAAGAGCATCTCTTCAATAGGGCAGACCCTGCGGGGCTGATGAGCTGTTTGGCGGGGTCTGGAGAGCTGAGGAGCATGGGCAGGGGGAGGCGTAGCAGTCGAGCGGATACATGTCAGACGGCCTTCCTCAGCAGAGATGACTTGGTAGGTAGCATGCTGTTGGGCAGATGGGGTTAATTCTTACACCCAAATCAAAAGGTGACCGAGGGGGGAATGTTTTATTAATGAAAGCAGCCCTTTGTGAGTATTCCTCCCGAGGCATGTTCCCTCCACCCTCTGTCTTCCCCCCCGGCTGCTGTCTGGCCCCGTGTCGTGCTCGGTACCTGCTCAACTGCCACTCACCCACTGATAGGTTTCATCTAGAAATATCTCCAGCACGTCTGAGTCCTGGGCCCAGGCGAGCGTGGACGGGAAGGAAGAGGGACAGGGTCTGCGGCTAGCCTGGAGAGGAGGACACGCTGTGGGCAGGCAGAGCTCGGGCTGTCGCAGGTTTCATGTCAGCCCATTGATTGCTGTGCTGTTGCTGTGAGGGTCACCTCTTGCTGGTACCAAAGAGTAGGAGAGGCCTCGGTTTGCAGAGCGCAAGCTAAAATGCAGGTCAGCAGAGGGTATCTTGGTGGGTTGGGAATGTAGGGAACAACTGGAGACCAGGTAGGGGAGGTTTGGCATGCCTTACCCATCACCTAGCCCCTTTCCCACCCTACTGCCTCTGTCCTGCCAAATCACAGGCTCAAGAGAAGGGAAAAAGGAGCAGGTTTCTGTGCGCCAGAATCCAACCTCTCCCAGCTCTTCTAACCCTGCTGTCTTTTCCTGCCCGTTTCCCCATGCGGCTACATGGCAGCTTCTTGTGCCAAAGCACAGGGCGGTGGGAGTGGAAGGGTTGTGAGCAGAGATTATTTCTGTTGCTTTGTTAAAAATAAAACAAAAGCTTTTTTATGTTGATTGACTTAGAAGAAGGAGCAAGTGGAGCTCAATTCCCAGAGCGCCTTTTAGAAAGGCTCTGCGTGCGCGCGCATGTGTCTTACGTGTGTCAGGAGAGAGCACCCAGGGCAGGCTGGGTCGGGAAAACTCGCGGGGAAGCAGGGAAGAGACCCCAGTGCGTGGCTGCTTCCCTGAGGGAGCCCCCCCAGGGCTCATGTTTGATCTGAGGCTCAGTTGTGCTCCTCTGAAACCTGAGCATGTCAGGAGCTCTGAGAGAGGCTGGGGCGGAAGAGGATGCTATTTGCATTTTTCCTAGGAATGCATCTATTTGTATAAATATGGTGTCTCTGTGCATGCGCACACTCCGTGACGCAGGCGTTTGTTTGAAGAGAAACGCGCTGTCCCCGTGGTGCTCTCTGCTCAGGGTTAGTCTGATATTCCCACTCTTCCTAGAAGAGCTGTAACTCCCCTCCCTTCCTCCAACCTAGCGATGGCCACGGGCGTGGGAGTCCTGAGCTGTTTCACCAGGCAGTGGTGGAGTTTCCTCGCGGAGGATGGAGACACCCTCTTTCCGATTTGCACAGACATCAGAAGGTTCAAACAGATCACAACGTCGTCAAAATGCCGAGCCCCTGTCTCCTTCTGCCCTTGGGTTGACAAGCACCTGGGGGAAGCAGGGTGTAATAGCATTTCGCGGGCACGGGGAAAAGCCCAGAAGCGTGCGGAGGACAAAGAGGTTAGCCGAAGGGCAGGTCTGTCTGCGGATGTGAGGTTGGCAGCTGGATTTGAGAGCGATCTAGGCGCTGTGTGCATATAACCTCTGTGGATATTTACTCCAGCAGAAGGCAGGACTGTCCTGTATGCTAGTTATGCCGTGCTGGGAGCAGTTTAAGCTCAACTGGAGAAAGCTAGTCTTAGCCTGGGAGAGGACTAGAGATGTGCACCACAGTATCAAGTAGGAGTAGCGATTGACCTATAGGGCTGTCACTTTAATGGTGTGGTTTTCTGTGTAGACAACCCCGGAGCGGAGCAGCTAGCCTGCTGCCCCGTGTGTCTAGCTGTCTGACTCGGATGTATAACACGGCCCTGTCTGCGCGCGGTGGTAATCGCCTTCCCGCATGGGGAACGCCGGCTCCGGTTCCATCCCTGCTCCAGCAAAGTAACGGCAGCAGATCCCAAATTTCCAGTAGACATCAGGTACCTCTTTCACCATGTGGAGTAGCCCCATCACACCTAAAAACATACGAAATGCTTCCCAAATACTGCTTTTATGTCAGTAATTGCTGTGGTCGTCTTGAGGACAGTCCGTGACCACGGATGAGGGTTCCTTGGCTGGCGTTTGATGTCTTTTTAAGACGTTGATATTGCTCGTTTGGAGACCTGAACAGCACTCCTGCTCCACCATAGAGCTCCCGAGAAATGGGAAGTAGCGTGTGAAGCTTTGTCTGTGCTTTCGGTATAGCCTTGCCTTTTCCTTTTGTAAATGATCTCGTTTTAAGTCAAGATTTAGGAGGGCTGCGTTTTTTGGTGCGGTTTTGGTTCGGCCGGGAGAAAGGCAGGACCTGCCCATGACTCGCCACCGGCTTAGCGGAGAGGCCCGGCGTGCCCTCGCCCTCCGGCCGCGGATCCGTGCGTTCCCCGGCTCAGACCCCCGTCGGGATGCGGAGCCGCGTCCCGAAACAGCACGTCCGCGGGGCCGTGGGCTTTCGGCGGGCCCCGGAGGACGGGGCGGCCGCCCCGCCGCC